TACTTACACTTAGGTCACTACACATACATGTACAAGCACATATATATACACCCCTCTGGGTTTTCTTCTATTTTCTTTCTAGTTCTTATTCTGTTTATTTCCTCTTATCTCCATGGGGAAGTGGAACAGAATTCTTCCTCCGTTAAGCCATGCGCGTTGTAAGAGAGCGACTAAAATGCGGGAGCAAAGGGGCTAGTAACCTCTTCTCCTGTATATATTACTAAATGTAAAAGGAGAAACTTTCGTTTTTCCTTTTGGGCCACCCCGCCTTGGTGGGATACGGCCGGTGTGTTGAAAGAAAGAAAGATATAATATATATATATATTTATTATATTATATAAATATATAAAATAATTTTCCTATCCTTATCCTGCTATCCTAGATAGCAGATGAACAAGGGGGGCTTTAGGAAAGGTAGGGGGTGTGTGGACCAGGTGTTTACAGTGAAACATATAAGTGAACAGTATTTTAGATAAGGCTAAAGAGGTCTTTGTGGCATTTATGGATTTTGAAAAAAAAGGGGTATGACAGGGTGGATAGGGGGGCAAAGTGGCAGATGTTTCAAGTGTATGGTGTAGGAGTAGGTTACTGAAAGCATGAAGAGTTTTTACGAGGATAAATGAGGCTCAAGTTAGAGTATGTAAAGGGAAAAAGGGAAATTTTTTCCCAGTAAAAGTAGGCCTTTTGACAAGGGGTGTGTGATGTCACCGTGGTTGTTTAATATATTTATTGATGGGGTTGTAAGAGAAGTAAATGCGAGGGTCTTGGCAAGAGCGTGGAGTTAAAAGATAAAGAATCACACACAAAGTGGGAGTTGTCACAGCTGCTCTTTGCTGGGTGACACTGTGCTCTTGGGAGATTCTGAAGAGAAGTTGCAGAGATTGGTGGATGAATTTGGTAGGGTGTGCAAAAGAAGAAAATTAAAGGGAATACAGGAAAGAGTAAAAGGGTTTTGAGGATAACAAAAAGATTAGGTGATGAAAGATTGAATATCAGATTGGAGGGAGAGAGTATGGGGGAGGTGACCCTATTCAGATATTTGGGAGTGGACGTGTCAGCGGATGGTCTATGAAAGATGAGGTGAATCATAGAATTGTGAGGAAAAAGAGTGAGTGGTGCACTTAGGAGTCTGTGGAGACAAAGAACTTTGGGGGGAAGACAGCGGGGGTGGTGGGGAAGACGCATGGGTGGGGAAGACAGCATGGGTGATGGGGGGGACAGCGTGGGTGTGGGGAAACGAGGGGTGGTGGGGACAGCGTGGGGTGGGGAAGACACTGGTGGGGGGAAGACAGCGGGGTGGGGGGGAAGACAAGGGGTGGGTGGGAAAAGACAGCATGGGTGGTGGGAAGATAGCGTGATGGGGGGGAAACAGCGGGGGTGGGGGGAAGACAGCAGGGGTGGGGGGAAGACAGCATGGGGGGGGGGGGAGGACAGCGGGGTGGTGGGGAAACAGTGTGGGGGGGGGGAAGACAGGTGGGTGGTGGGGAAGATACGTGGGGGGTGGGAAAGAAGCGTGGGGGGTGGGAAGACAGGGGGGTGGGGGGGAAGACAGTGTGGGGGGGGGGGGAAACAGTGGGGGGGGGGAAACTGGGGGTGGGGGGGAAGACGCAGGGGTGGTGGGAAACAGTGTGGGGGGGGGGAAACAAGGGGGGGTGGGAAGACAGTGTGGGTCGGGGGGAAAAGCATGGGGGTGGGAAGACAGCGGGGTGGGGGGAAGACAGTGTGAGGGGGGGAAACAGTGGGGGTGGGGGGGAAGACAGTGGGGGTTTTTGGGAAGACAGCCTGGGGGGGGGGGAAACAGTGTGGGTGGGGGGGAAGATAGGTGGGGGGTGGGGAAACAGCAGGGGTGGGGGGGAAGACAGCAGGGTGGGGGGGGAAGACAGCATGGGTGGGGGGGAAAACAGCGGGGTGGTGGGGAGACAGCGTGGGGGTGGGGAAACAGTGGGGGTGGTGGGAAACAGCATGGGTGGGGGGGAAAACCGGGGGTGGGGGGAAAACAGCGTGGATGAGGGAAAGACAGTGTGGGAAGTTACGTTGTGAGGGATAAATACACAAGGCAGCAGAAAATGCTTCTTTGGGCACCAGTAGCACCCCAGGCTGGTAGCCACTGCTGACTCACCACATCCACACCAAATGCCCCCTTTCCCAACCACCCACCACCACAACAACCGCACCCACCAGCAGACCACATCGGGAAATTGGCACAAAATCCAAATTTGGGTGCAAAACGAGTGGATTTTACATGTATTTTAGATATGCGGTCTCAAGGCCACAAAAATTACTTGAAAAAAATAAAATACAGTGAACCTCTACTTACAAGTCATCCACTTGTATTTTTTTCCCAAATTTAAAAAGCAGTCACTTGGTCGATTTTTTGCTTCCAACACAAGCGAAAATTTCTAGATGCGAGCGAGCCTCAAGGGATGTTCTTGACGCTGGTGACGGCTCTTGTTCTTGATCAGGAATTTGGGATCTCATTGTTTTATTGGACTATCTTATTGAAACTTGGGCATGAAATATGGAAAGATGCTTCTTAACGTACACCAAAAATGAAAAAAAATCGGACCATAAATAACAGAATTCACTTCTCAGCCATTAGCCACCCTAATAGTATAATATAATAATAATAAAATATAATAATAATTAAAGTAGTAGGTTGGTAGACAGCAACCCGCCCAGGGAGGTACTACCATCCCCCAAGTGAGTGTAAAACGAAAGCCTGTAATTGTTTTACATGATGGTAGGATTGCTGGTGTCTTTTGTCTGTCTTTTAAAAATGCAAGATTACAGGTACTCTTGCTACTTTACTTATACGTAGGGCACACTACACAATGTGAAAAAGCAAAATACATGGAAACCCCCCGGGTTACGATATTTTTTTCATTCCAGAAGTTTTGTTCAGGTGCCAGTACTGACTAATTGTTTTCCCCTAAGGAATTTGTGAAAATAGATATCCATTTCAGACCCAAAAACCCTCCCCGACAAACGCACTTACATAAATACACTTACATAATTGGTCATTGGAGGTGATCGTTATGCGGGGTCCACTGTATTTATAATATTTTTTTTATCACACTGGCCGATTCCACCAAGGCGGTGGCCCCAAAAAGAAAAACTTTCACCATCATTCACTCCATCACTGTCTTCAGAAGGTGCTTTCACTCCAGTTTTTTAAAATGCAACATAAACCCCTCCTTCAAGTGGCAGGCACTGTACTTCCCATCTCCAGGACTCAAGTCGGGCCCGCCCGGGTTTCCGACCCCTTCATAAATTTACTTTCTCACACTCCAACAGCACGTCAAGTATTAAAAACCATTTGTCCATTCACTCCTATCAAACACGCTCACGCATGCCTGCTGGAAGTCCAAACCCCTCGACAACAAAACCTCCTTAACCCTCCCCTCCAACCTTCCTAGGGCCCACCCCTACCCGTATATATATATATATACAGTGGACCCCGTTAACGATATTTTTTCACTAAAGAAGTATGTTCAGGTGCAGTACGACCGAATTTGTTCCCTAAGAAATATAAGTAGATTTGTCCATTTCAGACCCCCAACATAACGTACAAACGCACTTACAAAATTAACTTAATAATTGGTCCATTCGGAGGTAAAAACGAAAGCCTTAAATTTTTTACATGAGGTAAGGATTGCTGTTCCTTTTTCTGTCTCATGAAAATGCAAGATTTGGTACGTCTTGCTACTTCTACTACACTTAGGTCACACTACACATACATGTACAAACACAATATATAACACCCCTCTGGTTTTCTTCTATTTTCTTTCTAGTTCTTATTCTTGTTTATTTCCTCTTATCTCCATGGGGAAGTGGAACAGAATTCTTCCTCCGTAAGCCATGCGCGTGTAAGAGGCGACTAAAATGCCGGGAGCAAGGGGCTAGTAACCTCTTCTCTGTATATATTACTAAATGTAAAAGGAGAAACTTTCGTTTTTCCTTTTGGGCCACCCGCCTCGGTGGGATATCGGCGGGTTTACGTTGAAAGAAGAATATATATATATTTTAATATATATAATATATATAATATATATATATATATAATATATATTTATATATTTATACACACCACACACACACACACACACACACAACCCTCTGGGTTTTCTGCTATTTTCTTTCTAGTTCTTGTTCTTGTGTATTTCCTCTTGTCTCCATGGGGAAGTGGAACAGAATTCTTCCTCTGTAAGCCATGCGTGTTGTAAGAGGCGACTAAAATGCCGGGAGCAAGGGGCTAGTAACCCCTTCTCCTGTATAATTACTAAATTTAAAAAGATAAACTTTTCTTTTTCTTTTTGGGCCACCCTGCCTTGGTGGGATGCGGCCTGTTCATTGAAAGAAGAAAAAAAATTATAACAACAGACCCATTTTTCTTCACTGAACTTCACATTGTTTTCTGCGGCCCATTTAAATAAAGATTTGATCGGTGTCCGCCTGGAGTCTTGCACTGTCTTCAGTGGAGGACACTGTCATGCAGATTCAGGTGTCATCCCCAGTTAAGACACGGCGCTGTGGTTTACGTCTCTGTCTATGTCCAATATGAAGATGAGGAACAAGATGGGAGCGAGTACTGTGCCTTGTGGAACAGAGCTTTTCACCATAGCCGCCTCGGACCTTACTCTGTTTACTACTACTCTTTGTGTTCTATTTGTCAGGAAGTTATAGATCCATCTACCAACTTTTCCCATTATTCCTTTATCACACATTTTGTATGCAATTACACCATAGTTGCACTTGTCAGTTCCCTTCTACAGTCACTTCTCTTATAAAGTTCCTTTAAAGACAGTTATTTGGTTATCTTTTAGTTTTCCTCCAGTTATCCTCCAGTTATTCATCAGTTTCTTGGAAAATAGATTGTCAACTATCACACATTACTGCCAATTAACAAGTCAAAAGTCTATCACTTTAATAAAAAAAATAGTTATTGAGTGAGTGATGGTGAAGGTGTCTTCTTCTAGTATAAAGGTGATTTACATTGACAGGAGCGGCCAAAAAGAACCCTGACTCACCCTTCGCCGAGCTGCAACAACAACAATCAACAACCAGTTATGCCTTAAAACTACCACAACAACCACAGCAACAGCAACAACCACAACAACTACAACCATCCAAGCAGCAACAAAAGCAGTCATATTTTAAGAATGGTATGTTGAACCCTGTTGAGGGTCTCTTATTGACACCAGGGTCTCTTAGTTATTGTCATCAGGGTCCCTTGTTGACACCCGAGTCCCTTATTGACACCAGGGCTCTTAGTTATTGTCATCAGGGTCCCTTGTTGACACCCGAGTCCCTTATTGACACCAGGGTCTCTTAGTTATTGTCATCAGGGTCCCTTGTTGACACCCGAGTCCCTTATTGACACCAGGGTCCCTTAGTTATTGTCACCAGGGTCCCTTGTTGACACCCGAGTCCCTTAGCTGTTGATACCATGGTCCTTTAGTTATTGACACCATAGGGTCCCTCACATAGATCTGTGTTATTAACACCAGGGTATTATTCAGGGTATTGTTGAAAAAATGTGAATAAAAACGGTTCATTAAATTAATGTCAGTGGGGGATTTATTGTGGAACCAGACGTGTATTAGTCCTGATGAATCAGAGTAACCTGGCAGGAGTGAGGTGGGGTGTTTGTAGGACTCCAGAGGAGCTGTGAAGGCAGAAGGTTAGTATTTGGTATTTGATATTTGAGCAGGAATTTTTTTGGGGGGAGTGGGTAAGTTTTATGCCATAGGCTGTTTTATTGTATTTGTTTATAGTCTTAAACATTACCTTTAAGGTCCTAGTGTGGTGGGCCTATTTGGGAGAGTACAGGTGAAGTGTTTGTGCCTGCAGGCTAAGAGGCCGGCAGATGACTGGGGGTGTCATGGTGCCCCACTGTCTTCATATGTTTTAGTTTAAACAGCTAGTAGCAGTGTGCTAGTGAGTTATTGTGTAGTATATAGAGGGTAGGTTGTACGTTGAATATCCAACCTCTCCTCACTTAATCATAGAGTTCCGTTCCTAAGAGTAGGTCGGTAAACTAATTGGTCGCTAAGCAAGGAGCATACTATAATGGTGGTGGGTTTGTGTCAACCATCTTTAGATATTGTTTTAATGTCACCTTTTCACCATTTATATAATTTTTAGTATGCTTTTTAAATGCTTATGTATTAGTGGCTGTATAATGTAATAAACAGAATTAAGAAATCAGCTCTAATATACATTATTTAGGCCTGCAATTAGGGAGCATTGAAAAAATACAAATTTTAAAGAAGCAAGCTGCACTTTTTAGGCATTATTTGTATGGTCACAACAAACTTCTGTGCAAAATTTCAGACCATTTCATGGCCATTTACTCTGCAGCCTCGCGATCGACTTTTCGTCAAATTATGCACCATTGAAAGCAATTAGTTATAATTTATTGGTTGTCAGGATAATAATCAAGTGTACATGGTTTATATCATTTTTGGATGTAAAGATTGTATAATCAAATGTACATGGATTATATCAGTCATCAGCTATTTAATTTTAAATCATTGCAAGTTATAAGTGAAGTCTTTCTTGGTGCAGAACTTGGACATCACTTTCCTGGAAAATATTCTTTGCCTGATATATCCATCTCTTGCCTTCTGTCCAGTCACTTCAGTGCAAGCTTCAGTCATCAGTTTTATCCCTCTCTCAACAGCTTGAGTGTTGTCTGGCCACTTGGGAACCTCCAGTGGAGTCTCAATGATTTTCAGAGCCTGTTGTTTTGATAGAGAAGCAATGAAAGGAGGCTCAGTTTTGAGTTCAGTTTTCCAGTCGATCATGGAATGATAGTTCTTTGCTTGCCACTTTAGTTTGGGAATCACTACTTTTCTTGAGTTGACAATAAGAGTCACATTGTCATTATCTTCATCGTCACTGTCATCCTCATCATCAGTGTAGATTAATAAGTACTCATCAACAGCATCAGCAATATCTTCTCCATCCTCATCAGAACTTTCTTCTGTCTGATGATTCTCTTCTCTAATTTTTCTTATCATTCAGACAGCTTTGTCTCTCACAGTGGAGGTTTTCTTGCCATCAAAATACAGTGATGTGATATTTTCCAAGTTTGCTAGCTCATTTTCTTGCCTCTCCATTCGGTATGTGTGTCTGGCATCTCATAACTTCTGTGGTTCAATAACTTGACTTATGTTGTCCTTGGTGATAATGCCATAGTCCATTAAGGTTGTGGTAGCAATGGCAGCTCCAGCATAATCACTGATCAAGTATCAGTCACATGTGGCTGCCAGTGTGGGAATCTTGTTCTGTTCTGCTGTGAGCTGCTGGCAGTCAGACCACTCAAGACATAGTCAGCATCAGTATTGACAGAAGTGCTATCTCTGGCATCATTTGAATTATCATCAAAATCAGAAATTTCTCCAGCTGCCGGTTCACTCTGTCTTTCCTCCGGCTGCTTCCTGGCTCTGGCTGTATCCTGCTCCTCTTTTACCATCGCTATCCCACATCCTCGTTATTGTCATGTCAACACAGCCAATTTTCATCTTCCTATCACTTCTCTGGTCAAGGAGGAACTTTACCTCACGTTTAGGAACTTTCACATCACAATTACAGGCCAGGTGGTATCCGTCACACTCCTTTATTTTGCACCCTACATCTTGACAAGAGGCAGCAGGATAGAAACAACTACATATATCAAACAACTCGTTCATTTCTTCCTGATATGTAGCTTTTTTGGAGGCATTTGTTCTTATTAAGTTCTATTCCTCTACTGTACAATTTTCTCAAACTTTCCTCAATAGTTTTCTGGCTGAGAATAGGAATAGTCTTTCTGTCTCCAATTGATTTCTCCAATAGATCAGAACAATCCTTAGCTGCTATCTTGATAATCACTGAAACATCAGTAAACTTTCCTTCGTCACAGTTATACTGCCAGAAGTTCCTTAACATATCACCTTTGTACAGAAGTTAGTTCAGTGGAAGAACACTGTCATGGCCAAACAATGCATGTTCTGTGGCTTTCCTCGTTGACATTGTAGCATCTCAGTAGTAAAGTATATAAGTAATCATAGTATCTGAAAAGAGAGAAAGTTAGTTAATGTTTATAAATACTGCAGAGTACATAGATACAGTACATAAAACACTGCACTGCGCTACTCAGTAATACAGACATATTCCAAAATTTCAATCGTAAATGCTGCAGGCTAAACCTCAGCCAGTCAACTTCATATTTGGCACTGAATCTAAGATGTATATAAGGAACATTCCCTGAAGAGTGCAGCTTTGGCCAAAATTTCAATGCTCCCTAGTCTGTATGCTGGTCAGAGCAGGTCGTGAGTCCCAGCGGTCGTTAAACGAGCATGTCGCTAAGTGAGGAGAGGCTGTAGTATACCCTTATATTATACTTTTGTACATGTTAAGTTTTGTACCCTTCCTGATAATAATAACAAATATTGACCATTTATTTAACACTTAAATGTGAAAGAACAAGCTTGGCCCTAGGTTGATGTATTTTGTTTAATATTTCAAATGCCCCTAGACAAGGCTGTTACCCCTAGGCGTCAGGATATATTTACATAATGTAATACATTACAAAAGTCCCTCACATAGTTCTACCTGATGAGCTCAGCTCACTCGGATAATCTGTGAGTGGTAAATATTGTCCTAGACATGAGAGAATATTGTGTGTGTGTGTGTGGTGAGTGTGCACCGTATAATATAAATCCTGCCCAAAAGTTCCGACCGGGGGGGGGGGATTTTAACATGATAAGACCACCTATGACTATCATAGAGGATCAAAAAAGGGGTACTTTTCTGAATTGGTTGACAGCACAGATTTCCAGCAGCTACACCCTGGAAATCTTCAATCAGCTGTGTCCCACAGGGGCTGTGGATGATGAGTAACCAAGGTTAAAACTTCACCCTAAGAATATATATTCCAGTATAGCAGATGACCTGGAATATAGTGGATTACTCATACCTGTTATTGGGCGATCCCCCTTGTTTCACTGTCTTCTGGTCAACCCAGTTAAATCCCCATATCTACCTATTAGCTGCAGCTAAACTAGTTGAATATGAGTTTGATAGGACTCCCCTGGGTGTGTGTATTGGACCCTTGATAATCTTGACACCAGCATTGATGGTTTTAACTAAGTCAGGTTGAAACCGCTCCATGTTCGATTGATGTTGAATGGCAGAGACACTCGGGAATGTTTGTTTCATTAGTGTTTTTGATCACTCACAACACGCCAGTACACTCCACTACCATCACCCGTTACATTTGTGGAAACTGCCCACGGTAGGGAGAGAATTAGTAACACTATATCTTTACTTCAGTTCTCCCTGTGATTATTTGAGAGAACAACACAGAAAATGCATGTTGACACTAGATACACTCGTGATCATGGTTCTTGTTCTTGTAAGAATTCGTGAACACGAGATAACCCGAACAGCCTACACTGTCTCTGTTTCACAGTACATACAGTGGACCCCCGGTTAACGATATTTTTTCACTCCAGAAGTATGTTCAGGTGCCAGTACTGACCGAATTTGTTCCCATAAGAAATATTGTGAAGTAGATTAGTCCATTTCAGACCCCCAAACATACACGTACAAACGCACTTACATAAATACACTTACATAATTGGTCGCATTCGGAGGTAATCGTTATGCGGGGGTCCACTGTATTATAGTCCACGGACCTGGCACACGTTCACTGGTTGAAGACTTATAGCAGTCTGAGGCCCACAGCTCTGCATGTCCCTCCACCAAGAAGGATTCTGCTGACATATGGTCTAGACTACTCAATGCCAGTTTTGCAACGGGATAAAAATAAGGATTACTGTTTCCCTTAATTGCAGTTGCTTGCTGTAGGGAAACACACCCCAAAGTTCATCATCAAATTGGGCACAATTTATTTTGGATTTTTAATGGTGTGAGGAACCAGCAGTTTCCCGAAACTCATTTTTGTATATAGAATTGAGCATATACTCTCCTAAGGAGGTGTGTCTCATGATGCCTTATGCTCTAACGCGTTTCTGATTGAACACGTGTATGCTAAGTTGTCTCATATCAAGATGTGAGAACCAGGAAGTTAGGTCATTCGCGTCCCCCCTTTGAGAGGGCTACCCTCTTTTTTGAAAGAAAGGGGGATAACACCTATCCCCTTCGAAACTGGAGA